TCCAAATTTTCATGTAAATCGTTTATGAACAACGCAAATAGCAAAGGACTAAGCAGACAACCCTGTCTTAACTCTACTGATGTTTCGAAAAAGTCAGTTAGTCCTTCTTTATGATATACGGCAGCCTTAGTATTTGTAGGTGAGCTTCTTATGATATTCAAGAATTTATGGGACAGCCCAAGATTAGCCAACTTAAAAAACAGAGGCTCCCTATCTATACAATCAAACGCCGCTTTAAAATCAATGAAAATGTATACACTTTACGACGTTCTTTTGGCAGAGACAGTTTGACAATGCTAAACAAGCTGAATATGTGGTCTATGGTTGAGTACCCCGGACGAAAACCCGCTTGGAAATCATTTAATATGTCATGTGTATTCACCCAGTTCCATAAACGTCCCAATAAAATTCCAGTCAATAATTTTGTAATTAATTAATGAAAGATATGCCCCTAAAATTTTCAACGTTATGGATATCTCTTTTTTTGAATAACGGGCAAATGACTCTTTTAGTGAAGCTCTGTGGGATTCTTCCATTATTGAAGTAATGATTGAATATGTTAACAATTTGTTGCAGTACGCATTCTGGGGATTTTTTGAAAAATTCATATGGCACAGAATCGATTCCTGGCGCTTTATTATTTTTTGCCTTGGCCAATACACATTTAAGTTCGTCTAAACCTATTTCCCTATCTAGCTCAAAATTTTCCCATTTTGGGGTGGCATAAAATATTTGAGGAGCTTTTATAACAGGATTCAACAATAAATCTAAGTAATGTCTAAACTGCTCACCTGTAATAGTTAGATTCACTGATAAAATTTGATGGCCTGAATTGGTTTATTAGTGACCACAGATTTTTAGTATCTTTAATACATTTTAATTGTTCTTTAAATCTTATAATACTCATTCCGTTTTTTTCTAACTAATTCTTTGTATTCATTATTTACCCTCAAGTATTGGAATTTATTATAAACATTATTTCGTTTTCTAATAATATTTAGAAATCCAAAAGATTTATCCCAGAATTTAATGCATTCACCGTCAACCACTGCTGTTTTCCTAATTTTTTACCATTATTTATCTGTTTTTTATGAAAAGCACATTCTATAATACATTCCAACAATGGTTCCAGTTTTAGATCTGATTCATTAATCCCATCTAATTTTATGTAATTTAATTTATTTTCTAATTTTGATTCAAAATACAATTCATCCTGCCATGACCACCGCAATCTCTTACGTTGGAGGGCTTTACAATTCCTAATGTTATTTGCATGACTGAAGTCCAAGACTAATTCAATAGGCATATGCTGAGTGTAAATTTTGGAAATAACTTTAAATTTTTTTATATATTTCAGAATAGGTGCAGATGCAAAACAAATATCAATAACAGAACTACCCCTCATCAGTCTTACTTATTAAATATCAATTTTAAAAATAAATTAATCCACTCCTTAAGAACACATCCTCACACATTCAGTTCCTCCTCTGTGACTGGGATCCCACCCAGCCTAACTATTCAAGTGTCTGATGTGCTCTGCTGAAATACAGAAAATAATTCCAAGCCAGTCTATTTTTAGGATTTTATTAGTAGCACATTCAAACCTCCAACTGTAAATTAATTCTTTTCCTATGACAGCAGCCAACTTATTGTACCCCACTTAATTTCAGGGAGCACTCAAGGAATTTCTGAACTATTACTTTTAAGGAATTTCTTTGTGTTAAAAGACAGTATAACACTGAATAAAACTTTTCCTTTTATAATGCAGTAGGCTACAAAAATTGAGCATAGATTGTTGTATTGAATGGGTAAACAGAATATTTTTATATAATGCCTAAACAATTTTCATTATATTTCATTGAAACGACTGGGTATACTTTACTGCTAAAAAAATTATAAAAGATGTTTTAAATATATCTTTATATGCATAGCTATTTTTTTTTTTTTTAAACATTTGGTTATTTTAATAATTATAGTTTAACTTATTTATTGAAAAATATTACAATCTGCCTCAGGACATTTATAATAGTGTTGAGATCACATTCACACTCTATGTACAATAAATAAAATAAATTATCATTTAATTAATTATTATCATATCCAGTTCAGTTCTCTTCTCAACTCCTTAGGACATCACTTCATTCTGGGTGGAGATTTAATGCCAAACATCACCAATGGGGTTCTAGAACCACGAATTCTCGTGGCAGAACATTGTTATCTGCACTCAATTCCCAACGTTTCAGTATCCTTCCTCCTAACTCACCTACCTACTGGCCCACAGATCCTAACTGCAATCCCGATATCCTTGATTTTTTCATCCACAGTGGCTTATGTCCCCTCAATCATTCCCTTACCCGTCTTGCCGAACTATCCTCAGATTATAGTCAGTTATTACTCCCATTATCTCTAGCTCCTATTCCTAAGTCTTTTCCACCTTAGTCCTTCATCAGAGGCCCAGTTAACTAGAAATTCTTTCACCAAATTTTTTCCGATATAAAATTGACCTCAGAATAACCTTGAAAACCACAGATGACCTTGACAATGCCGTACACTTTTTTACCACCACTATCCATCAAGCAATCTGGACTGCTTCCTCTCCAAACCACTCTTCAAGAACCCCCAAGAAAAATAAGTTACCTCAACACCTCATAGACCTAATCCATACCAAACGCCGTGCCAGATTATTATGGCAAAGTACTACACACCTCACTGATCGTCAATCCTATAATTATTTTTGCAAAAATTAAAGCTGGAATTGGCCACTTTCAGATCCAAATCCTTCAACTCCTACCTTACTTCCCCCTCTTCTCATGACAATTCCCTATGGAAGATCACTAAACAAATCCTAAAACCCCATCATATATCACATCCTCTCCGTCGAGGTGATGGCTCTTGGGCAGCGTCTGACGAAGATAGAGCCGAGGAATTCGCCAAACACCTTTCCCTTACATTCACCTCTCATCCGGAATACAACACCACCCACATGTCAGCAGTAGAGGAATTCCTTAATTCACCCATCCCACTCTCCTTACCGCCTAAAGTAGTTAATCCTTCTGAGGTCAAATACCACTTACAAAAACTACCTACCCGCAAATCACCTGGATACGACCTCCTTACCTCTCAGATCCTTAGACAACTCCCTCCTAAAGCTGTCATATTCCTTACATACATACACAATGGCATCCTACGAACCACCCACTTTCCTCTTTTATGGAAACATTCTAATATTATTCTATTTCCAAAATCAGGAAAATCTCCCAAAAGCTTAACTTCCAACAGACCCATTAGCCTACTTCCAATCCTTTCGAAAATTCTTGAAAGAATCCTACCCATTATAGAATCTCAAAATCTTCCTTCACACCAGTTCGGGTTCCGTTCCCAACACTCCACAGTCCAACAAGGACTTTGAGTAGCCAATCATATTTCCACAGCCCTGGAAAGCAAGCAATATTGCTCGGGTGCATTTCTGGACATACTTCAAGCTTTTGACCGGGTATGGCACGCCGGGCTTCTTTTCAAACTTAAAACCTATCTTCCTCAGCCCTTATACCTTGTCCTCCGTTCCTACCTCTCAGATCGTACCTTCCGAGTTCACTGCGGCACTGAATTTTCAAATTGCTATCTAACTGAGGCTGGTGTTCCTCAAGGTAGCGTATTGGGTCCCGTCCTTTACATCCTCTTTACCGCCGATATCCCTGTCCATCCCTATACCTTGTGGCAACTTTTGCTGATGCCCCCGCCACCATTCTATCATCCAACTCAGATCCTAATAAAGCATCCTTAAACATTCAAAGACACCTCTCCCTGATTGAGCATTGGTGTAATAAATGGCGTATTCAAGTAAATGAATCCAAATGCCAACACATCACCTTCACGCTCCGATGCAGATCCTGTCCATCAATACACTTTAATTCCTTTCTCAGACACAGTCCAGTACCTTGGCTTTCTCTTATACAGACGACTAACGTGGAACCCTCATACTAGACTTAAAAGACAGGAACTTAACCGACGATACGGCCAACTATACATACTACTACATAGAAAATCTAAACTCTCTATTGAAAATAAAATACTTACCTACAAGACAATACTGAAACCTACTTGGACTAACAGACCTGAACTGTGGGGAACAGCAAAATTTTGTAGCATCAAACGCATCCAATCCTTCCAATCTAAAGTCCTTCGAACAATAGTCTATGCTCCTTTCTATGTAACCAACAAAACCCTACACCATGACCTTAATATCCCATTTGTCCTAGACCTTATCCCAGCAAAATTCTCTAAATTTCACCAGAACCTTAGCCATCATCCAAATCCCTTTGATCAATCTCTATCCAGCACCACCCATCCCTATAATCCTCCAAGGAGGTTAAAACGGCAGTGGCCCTGCGACCTTTTATAGTTTGTAAATATTGGAGTTCTGGCAATGATCAGATTCTCCACTCACAACATTTCAATAATTAAATTATTTTATAAAACTATTGACATCTCCAGAACTATCTCTTAAGTCTTATTTGTTTATGTTAGAAATGTAACCTAACCTAACACTTAAAAGACAGATGGCACTTACCTAGCTTCAGCATGCCATATACAATGTGGTAGTTGTGATCTTGGCCTACCTGCTATTTAGATATGACTGCTATAGTTTTACCGAAATAATAATCAACTTATGAATTAGTGGGATCGACAGGATGTAGAACTAATCAAAATTCAACAAAAAAAAAAAATCATGATGATATTTGACAAGGTCTTAATTTACTTAGGTGGAGAAAGATTTCCCTTTCCTGAGCATAACCTCCTAGCCTAAGTTTCACCCATAAGATTCTTCGAGTTGTTTGCCTATATTGAAATTAAATTGCCAGTATTTCCAGATTTAATGTTAGATGAAAGGATAAGGAAAGCCAGAGAACCAATAAGACCAGGAAAAAGGTTAAACAATTTTGAAGGAACCAAATTATTTCAAAAAATTGTTTTTGTTAAATACTAAAAAAAAAACTTGTATACTTAATCATTATATTGTGAAACATAAAAACTAAAATAACTATTGCTTTTTTTATTTATGAAATATTTGATAGATATATATACATTTACAGCACATAGTTTATAATTGTTACTAATTATAACTCAAAAATTTCATTCCAGTTTACTTCCACTTGTTGTTTTCATAGTCATATTTTGATGATAAACCATCAACAGGATTCATTTTAAAAGCTAGGATTCTCTTAAGCTGTGCTTGACGGTTTTCCTCCTTAAAAGAATCTGGAAGGCTCGGGTTGTAAACTAAAACAAAAAGAAATGTAACACTAAATTATGTTCTAAGACTAAGGCGAATGGGAAAAAATATTAATCTATATAAAAAGATAAACTCTAATTAAAATGACAAATCATTGAATAAAAAAAAAAAACTGATAGTGAAAAACAATGAGTTGAAATACCAACAACCTAAGTAGGCTTACTGAGAATGAACTAAACTGATAATCAGCCAAATTCATAATATGTAATATTATATTGTAACAATTAAGTATGAACAATGTTAACAACGAAATTCGAAACATTGTGAGTCTTCACATTGGATTTATTCAGAAATATATATAAGTTCTATTTTTACCACACGACTGAAATGACTACAAACTTATTTACTACTGTCTAACTGGCTATCAATGTAAAATATAACATAATTATGGCTTACCAAACAACTTCATACCCATGTATGCCCAAAGCGCCAACGAACCAAAGCAAAGAGCTAAGCCAACAATTGATTTCCATTCTCCAGTAGGAGCATTCATCTCAGCAAATGTTTGGCAAAATGATGCCCTAAAAACAATGAATAACACAATCTTGTTTCTACAAATAATATCAGTATATTATTGATGACAAAATATTGAAAATACATTTAAAAAATTAAATTAATAAAAAACACTCCTAACAAAAATAATAAAAGTAGGGAAATTCACCAATTATCTACATCAAAAATATTGACCCTTTTAACTCAGCTATAAATTTTCACCTCCACCATTCAGTAATCAATTTTGATTGAAACAACAGCTTTTAAAGCTATCAATTATTGGATCTTAAAAATGATCGGTTTTCCCAATTAATGACATTCTCAAAATCTGAGTACTTAATTAACGTCAACAGTTTATTTTTCCATTTGCACAGAAAAAAATACAAAATGATCCCATTGTTGAATAATCAAAACTCAGGAGAGATGTCATTAATTGGATTGGAGCATACCACATGATTAACAGAGTGAATATGCAGGTTATTGACATTTATCATATTTGATAATTTATATAATTTGCAATTTTGAAGGGACCTACTTACCAAAATAGTTTCCTACATATATAACTATTTAGGAAGTATTAAATGAAAACCAGAAAACTTCAGGCACTGAATCAGCACCTTGATAGTGACAAAAAGCAGCTACAAATAAAACTGTAAATTTACTTTTTTCTTATTCTCGAATTTTTTTTTACATTAAAATACTGTATCAGTTCCAAAAATGATCTTCCTATCAGGTTAGAGCAGGGGTCTCCAAACTAGGTAAAGCAAGCACCTTTAATCAGGCCCGTGAAAGTTTCTTTGATTACATGGTAAAATTTGAAAAACTATTTAAAAATGAGAAATTTAGCAAATTACTAACACACAAGGTTACTACAGCATTCATTGCATGGGTTTTTTTTTTCTCTTAGAAAGCTCATTTCACAGCTGAAGTGTCATTTATATAATGATATTTTTTTTTTAAACACAAGCCATGGCCCATGAGACTTTGATGGAGATCTCAATGGGGCCCGCGGGTTGAAAAGTTTGAAGACCCGTGAGTTAGAGCATAACAAATTGTTACCCTAGAAACAAAATGTTTGAAATTGTATTGAAATATAAACTATTGAGTGAATAATAGATATGGATTGTTTTCAGCAGGAGTTATGGAGCATGGAACCTTCTCTAGCAGATAAGCCTTCTTGGAAATTTTTTACAATCAATATACTTTAAAATCACGTCAATTCAGCTATCCCTTGCTCTCTAAAAGCTATTTTTAAACACAGTAATCATGAATGGTTTTCGGGACAAAACTAAAAGTGAGATCTGTAAAACAGGCCTGAACAAGGATGAAAAACTTTGAAACATGATAGCTTCAACATTAATAGAAAAGTTATTGCGAAAATAATAGAAAGTTTTGTTAAAGTTTCAATAATTGGAGCTTTAACCTACATCCATTAAAAAATAATGACATAAGCATTTTTTTTCATATAAAAAATATTATTAATGAATCACTTATCGAACCTGTATAGAGCTTTTTTTTCTCCTTGTGTTAAGTTTTTCCAATCTCCCTTTTCCTTTTCACGCAAAGCCTAAAAAAAAATGTATAGGGTTAGTAAATATTAATCTTTTCATTTATAAAATATAAATATTAATCTTTTAATTCATAAAATATAAATATTGATCATTAAATTTATAAAATATAAATAAGGACAAGGACAAACAGAGCTTTCTTCTCACTTCCAAAGGTATTGAAATTCCGAAAAATCTCAAATTAGAAGTGGGCCATACTATGATAAAATCAGTTCAATGGGGACACTAACCAGCAATCTAGAAAGAAGTTTTGAAAGATTTGAGAGAAAAATGCTCCACACAATAACCAGAGCATTGTTGTAATATGGAATCAGGGTACTAATGCATGGACCACGGCAGGCAAAAGACCACAGGGAAGGACAAAATCCAGATGGATAGATCGAAGGAACATAGATGCAATAGAGCTATGCAGAAAACTGGAAATAAATAGCACAAGATAGGCAGAGATTGACACACGTTTAATCAAAAGCAGAGCTATTTCTGAATATTTGTTTTAAGTGTAACATCAATGATAAGGAGGTACTTTTGGAAATTTAATTTCAGTTTCATATGACTTTTTGTTTTTAGTATGTGTGAAGAATCTGGTCGGGATGGACTGCTATCTGCCAATGTTTATAACTGAACACTGATAATTCTTATAAGGCACTGATAATCCCTATCTTTGTATTCATATTTATGGAAATTGAAATAGACAAAAACAAATGACATATTTATGGAAATTGAAATAGATAAAAACAAATGTAATAATAACAAAACAATTTGATTTGAAATTGAAATAGATAAAAACAAATGTAATAATTTCCACAACAATAACGAAAAACTTTTATTTTATAACATATATATGAAATAGACAAAAACATTATTACCAAGCCCTCCATTTTTGTTTTAGTTGACCTGTATAACATGTTATGGGCACAAACCTCTCTTAAAAAATTGTTTCACATTATCACAGTTTTATTTGGTAGTTTCAGCTGTTCTTTGCCCCACTGTATTGTTGTTAAGTTATGAGACCACCCATACATTAATTTTAAAGCCTTTGAAAAGGTTATCTTTGACCCCTCTAACCACGCCCCTTTCCTTATAGATACTTTTTTGTTACAACTTCTACGGAAGCATCTCCATTTCGTCTTCCTATCTTCATTTCATGACTTCCTTCACAGAATTTCACCTTTGGAATTATCCCAGCCTTTAGAAAATATTTGATATCTTCTTCTTCTGAAGAAGGCAATTCCCACAATGTAATAATATCCATTTGGACAATAAACAATGGAATAACTCACACGTAACAGAAGGATAACAACAGCTTAAAAGAGATAAGAAGGGAGTTTTCGTCATGACCGAATTCTTCACAATTACCTTGTTTTTCAGCTAGACTGTTCGCATACAAACATGTTTTTACTTTCACTTACCTATATATGCAATATATAGTATAGATAAGTATTGCGATCATGAAAATTTTCGTGTATGAGTTTTCAGTGGAAATACATGTTTTGAGGTCTCCTGAGTCCAAATAACCAAGTCCCGCAAAATAGTATGTCTGTGTGTATGTATGTTATCAGTATAGCTTAAAAACGAAAAGTCGTATGAAAGTGAAATTGCATATTTAAGGATTTTATAAGCTGTATATGTAACAGCAACACATTTTCGACAAAATCGGCAAACCGGAAGTGGTACTTTATATAATCGATTTAACAATTTTTATGATTTTCTCAAAAACGGCTTTAACGATTTTGATTAAACTCAGTATATCGGTGTATTATTAAGCAGTTTTTAACGTAATGTAGGTTTTATTCTCACTGATGTTCTCCATCAGGGCTTAAATGGGTCATTTTCAATATTGGCTTCCTCTAAAGTACCTTTATTTATTTTTTATTTGAAATAATTAACCATTTCACATTAATCTATGATATAAAAAATAGTTATAATGATGTACAGATGGTTGACCGTTGATATAATATGAGAAGGAGTTAGTCGAGGGTGCGGTCAAATAAATAAAAAATTAAAATATATTAATTATTTTAATTTTTGCCAAATCAGTATAGGAAATTAAAATAATTAATATATTTTAATTTTTTATTTTTTTACCGCACCCTCGACTAACTCCTCATATAAAAAATAGTTAAATATGAAAGAATTTGATTATTAACTAAAGGAGAAATAAGAGATTGTAATGGATAATAGTTGTGTTGCGGCAACAGATTCCCGCCTCTTGCTACAGGGGACAACTAGTTCACCTACTCGCTACCTGGCAGAGCCATACAAGCTTGCCCGTGCAATGTACCTTTATGATGTATTTTTATTTCTTATTGTTATATGATAAAATACTCAAATTGTAAATTAAAATATGTATATACCTGGTGAATACTTTTTATTAATAAAGTTTAATGGTGGTAACATGTACTGATCAAAGCTTAACAATAACTGTTATTGTAACGGCTCTTGACAGCTGATTTAGTCTTAGCGGAATGAATACCGCAGTCATATCTCAAATTGTTAGGTCCTCGGATCTCCATCCCTTCAAGGTGTAGACCATCACGCAGATGATCAGTATATGTCTCATATACGCTTTTGGTTCATCTTAATCTGCTCTTCTTATTTCAACTATCCAAAAACCTTTAATCCTTTTCTCTTAACCCATGCAAGTTTGGATGCTGATCCGTCCGCTTGTATTCCTATATACTAAGTCAGGAGATTGATCCCTCCATTAGTATTTCATCCTCCCACAAGTCCGGAGATTGATCCCTCCGTTAGTATTTTATCCTCCCACAAGTCCGGAGATTGATCCCTCTGGTTGTGGTTACCATCCTTGCGGAGTGTTAAGCTTGATATCTTACACCGCAGACCGAGTGATTGAGTGCTGATCCGCCTGACAACTAAGGTCATCCTTCTATACCACTCCTTCATCCATACTTAGTCATCTTACTTCTCTATAATGAACACACACTGTCGAGGCCTTCTGATAACTGTATATCCTCTCTGCACATATACCTCGACAGTTGTAATAGAGGAATCAAAGGGATCCGAGCTTGCCCGAGAGATTGCAACAGGCTTCCATGTGTAATATGAGCTTCATTTAATACGGACTCCGACAATATTATGTTCATATACATATGTGGTTTTCATAAATGCTATCGTTGGTATTATTTAATATTTAATTGTATAGTATACAGCGATAGCATAAAACATCAATGATTTTTGTCACCTAGTTTGATTATTATTTGCTTTCCTCTTCGCTTCAGGTTTTCCTTTTTTCTTTCTGGGTACATATATTTATATGTATGTATTTTATTTTTATATGTATTTTTATTTATTTTTTCCCCTATTTTTACCATTTCAACTATAATCATGCTTGAGAAGAATTTTTGTTTAACTGTTAACATATTATTTAAAGTACTATACATTTTATTAGAATTTTTTAGCGTTACTTTTTTATTAATTTGGCCTACTGTTTATATATTAACATCTAAATCCATGCTTTTCTGTTATTACTTTTATTTATTAATTTTTTCATTTGTCCAAATTATACTTTATGTCTTTTATACTTTATTACAGATTATACTTCTTTTTTTTACATATTAAACTTTTTGTCTTATATAAATATATATGTGTGTGTGTGTATTTTTTTTTTTTCCCACTACAACTACAAGTATTCCTAAAATTTTACTTTCATTTTTTTTTTTTTTTCATGTTAGTTTACTTACTATTATTTACATTATACCCACATATATTATTACAGTAAGGCTCAAAATTGGTTTTGTACCAAATATAAACCCCTGTCATGCTCAAATACCATGAATGGGGTATCGTTAGATTTAGAATTTCACGGGGGGGTTAGCGAATCGTATTCTCCAATTTTGTTTTCTTTCTAAAATAAATAAAGTCGATACAAACATTTTTCTAGGCTTCAATACTGGAACGGTGGTAACTCTGTAGATCGATACGGATCAAATTGAGCTTTGAAGATTTTGATGTGTACAGCTAGACTCTCCTATTTTAATTGCGGACTAAAAATTACACACTTTTCCCTTGGTTATGCCCATTATAATATAAAATATTACTAAATTCTCCAAATATTACTAAATGGTTCCAAATATTAATGAAGTTTTAAATTAATTTTTGTTTCCTTTGTCGATTATATTTATTGAGAAGGTAACAATTGATTTCTTTATCTTATATGTTGCATCATTTTATTTTATTATTAATTTGCCATTCGATCACTTAACAATATGCTGTGCGAATTTTTCGCACGGGCCTACTAGTTGTATATATTCTTAAAATCTTTATCAAGTTAGTTTTTGGCCAGATATGTACCTTCTTTTGTATTTGTTCATCATTGTTATTCTCCCCATGATCTCCTAATGTAAACATATCATTAGAGTGCTACCATTGGGTAGCTACTCAGCAAGTGTTTTTCATGTCATTATATACATTATGTTCTAATTTACTAGATGTATTTATTTAATACAGTTGTAAATGTCTTTAAGAAATAAAAACAAAAAAAAAATTGTTATTCTAAGGGGACTTAGTCCTAGAATAAGGTTTAATTTTCTATTCTACTCCAGATCTAGAAACACTCCCACAAACCATAAACAAGTCACTTTTGTGTTTTATGGAAATACACCTTTTAAGGTCCCCTGAGTCAAAATAAAAAGCACAATAGTAAAAAAAAAAAAATCTGGTACTCGCATCACACGACTTTCATTTACCACCCTTTTCTAAACAGAAATTAGTATTTTCAGACAAAGGAGAAGTGAAAGTAAAAATTATTGACACTATATTTATTTAAAATTCATTGTGGGTATTTTTATTTCTTTAAATACCCTTATATATACAAATTTAAATTTTTATATCACTGTACTCTATACAATTAAATATTAAATAATACCAATGATAGCATTTATGAAAACCACATATGTATATGAACATAATATTGTCGGAGTCCATTCAGAATTTCACGGGGGATTAGCGAATCATATTCTCCGCTTTTGTTTTTCTTTCTAAAATAAATAAAGTCGATACAAACATTTTGCTAGGCTTCAATACTGGAACGGTGATAGGTCTGTAGATCGATGCGGGACAAATTGGACCTTGAAGATTTTGATGTGTACAGCAAGACCCTGATAGTTCCTCCTGAACTATCGGATCCTGCGTTTTCAAGCCCAAAAACGTACTATTTTCGAGATAACGCAAGGCATGGGGTTCGCATCCACACAACCTGACGTTAATTGTAGTACTGGCATTAGATACATGTCTCATTTCGTCGACTTGAGGTCTCTATGATCGAGACAGGAGGAGTTTATATTATTTATCGATGGTGTTTTTGATCGGCAAGCCATATCATCGTTAGTTCTTAACCAAATCTCAAGATTGAGCCACCAATTTCAAAGGCTTCCTTCTCCTTCAGGCAGGCAAAATAGTTCAATCATCCCGAAAATTCAGTCAAACAAGTTATGAAAGGAAAGAAACATTATTTGCGAATAACTAAAAAATTACACATTTTTCCCTTGGTTATTCCAATGATTATATAAAACATTACTAAATTGTCTATAAAAGGAAAAAAAAATCATCGAAATCGATTAGAAATTTTTCCAATATTTTTTAATTTTCATTTTATTATTTATTTTTTCGTATTTTCGATTAATATTCATTCGGAGAGTTCTATTATAGAGCATTTTATTTGAAAATAACTATATATTTGGCATATAGCTATATTATCAGTGAGACGAAGAAATAATTTGAACTGACCGAAGGAGGAAAGTGGGTTCAAATATTTTTTTTAAGGGAAAACAGAGTTGAGATTTGTATTTCGCACCTCTACAAAGCCTCAAATACGAATTTTCATAGAAATAAAAAAACAAAACAATTTTTTTGCACCAAATCGGAACCAAGGCTCATCATCATTGAAATCGGTTAACTTTTCGCAAAGATACAGCTTATTGAAATTTGTAAATATGTTGGTTCCAAACAAAATTGAAGATTTAAATTAATTTTGTTTCCTTTGTCGATTATATTTCTCAATAAAGTAACAATTGATTCGTTTATCTTTTGATACGTTGCATTATTTTATTTTCTTATCAATTTGGCATTTGATAACAATATGCTGTGCGAATTTTTCGCACGGGCCTACTAATTACAACTATTATCCGTTACAACCTCTTATTTCTCCTTTAGTTAATAATCAAATTCTTTCATATTTTATATTTAACTATTTTTTATATCATAGATTAATGTGAAATGGTTAATTATTTCAAATAAAAAATAAATAAAGGTACTTTAGAGGAAGCCAATATTGAAAATGACCCATTTAAGCCCTGATGGAGAACATCAGTGAGAATAAAACCTACATTACGTTAAAAACTGCTTAATAATACACCGATATACTGAGTTTAATCAAAATCGTTAAAGCCGTTTTTGAGAAAATCATAAAAATTGTTAAATCGATTATATAAAGTACCACTTCCGGTTTGCCGATTTTGTCGAAAATGTTGCTGTAACATCAAAAGCTTATAAAAACCATAAATATGAAATTTCACTTTCATACGACTTTTCCTTTTTAAACTAGACTGATATCATACATACACACACATACAGACATACCATTTTGTGGGACTTGGTTATTTGGACTTAGCAGACCTCAAAACATGTATTTCCGTTGAAAACTCATATGCAAAAATTTTCATGATCGCAATACTTATCATTACTGTATATTGCATATTTAGGTAAGCGAAAGTAAAAAAAATTTTGTATATGAACAGTCTAGCTGAAAAACAAAAAGTCATATGAAACTGAAATTAGATATCTAAGGTTAGGTACAAGCCTAGGATGTAACAGCAACTTTTTTTGCTTAAAACAACTTTCCAAAAGTACCACCCTATCATTGATGTTACACTTTAAAAAAAATTCAGAAATAGCTCCGCTTAAACATGTATTAATCTCTGCCTATCTTGTGCTATTTATTTCCAGTTATCTGCATACAGCTCTATTGCATTTATGTTCCTTCGATCTATCCATCTAGATTTGACCTTCCCTGTGGTCCATGCATTAGTACCCCGATTTCATATTACAATAATGCTCTGGTTATTATGTGGAGGATTTTTCTCTCAAATCTTTTAATACTGCTTTCTAGAGTGCTGGTTAGTGTCCAGGTCTCACAGTCCTATTGAACTGGCTTTATCATAGTATCACACACCCCTAATTTGAGATTTTTCAGAATTTCAATATCTTTGAAAGTGAGATTATAAAATTACATACTTCTACCTCCACCTATACCCTACCCTAATTAATTTAGAAATCCTGAAAAATCTGAGATATTTTACACTAGAAATACTAACTACTAAATATTTATTAGCACATGATGCAGTCAATTTGGTAAAATAATATGAAATATTCAATTGATTATAATCAATGAGTAAACCATTGTACAAAATTACAATCATTACCACACCCCTCTTTGGTTAATCTCCAAACATTTGTGTAAATTTAACATTCAGGTAGTTATATTTTCAATACTGTAAAGCTGAGATTGCTTTGTCTATATGAGCCCAGAATAATTTTCAAGTAATTACCTAAGTAACTATGGCATTATTGACACCCATGCTAGCAATAATATAAGATACTGGAGGGTTTTTACAAGCTTGGCATAATGAAAATTCATATTTTGTTTATTAACTATATTGTTTGTCAACCATTAGTAGAACATATTCAAAATCACTGAGTGTCATTCTTACAAAATCTACAAATCTACTCTATCTTCTTTATTTAATGTAGCCAGATGATGATGACAAAGCTCATTGGTTGCAAAAATAGCTTTTATATGCACTGCTTTATTATATTTTTGTCTTTTCAATTAAAACTAAAAGTGAAACAGTGAGACCTGTGCGGGCTAATTCCATAGATATTCTTAATTATTGTCATTCATAGTGTGAGCAAGATTAGTAGAAGAGTTATCCCAGAAAAAATGCAGAACATTGAATTGGGGTAGCCCAACAACTACATTCCAATGTAGATTAGCATTCATATTACAACATTTAGGATCATTTTGTCATTTAAGTAATAGCCTATAGAAAACATAATAATACAAAATAAAATAAAAAATTAACCAGATTTTAAAATGCGATTTTTGATTTATTACACCTTAATTAACGGGATAATGACCATCTAAAGCAACAGTAACATTTTCTAATTAAAAGAAAAAGAAATATATAATATAATAACGCATACTGCAAAATATCAAGCATATCACAACTTTTAACAAAGAGCCATCTTAACTTTTAACAAGAAGAAAACATTGCATCCACAATAACTTCTAATCAGAGAAAATAAAGGCATTTCAAGTACTATGTTTTTTGTTTTGTGATTCAAATTAAAACAGATAAATTCAGAATTTAATCTACTTACTTTGATATCAGCTGTATCTGCCCTGAATCTAATGGCTGGTAGAGGAAAGTCAGGTCTATCAACATAATTCGGCACTCCATTGAATCCAAAACCTACTATCTCCCTAGCGCCAATAACCGAACTTTCTACAGAGGCTGAACTGGAGCCAAACCTCTTCTGCATCTTAGCGATGGTCCTCAACAGGTTCGACGACATTCTGCTGAAGTATAAAAATAATTTTAACAAACATTCTCCACTACAATTGCATTCAAAAAGGTTGCTTATACAATTAATAAGGATGACTTTTATTTACATATTATAATACTAATATATTTTTACTACAGTGGACTATTGGTAATTCTTTTTGATAATATTAAATTTTTTTATCAGATCCTTTGAGAAAACCTAATTTGGTTTAGAAAAATAAAATAAAATAATAAAAACATAATACAAAATAATTTTCACTAGACATTTTATCTCAAAAAGTCAAAGGAATGAGCAGCTAGGTTGTTACTGAAGTCCTAGTACATGAACACAACCCTTAATTCGAGCTATCATAATTAATCCAATAAGAATATTTTGTTCCTACTATTTAAGTCAATATTTACTTTGTCTAATCCTTTAATTCCTTGAGACTTGAGTTGGCTTTATGCGGTTATTCACATTTTTAAAACAAATTTTTAAAATGTCAGAAGAAAATTCATGATTCGCAGTGTTTTGAGACATTACTGGAAAAAAAAAAGGTCTCAGCACAACGGCAAGCACTGAAGATATTTGTGCCATAGAAAGAGAGACAGTTATCCATCAAAATACTTCCACACTTTGGTTCAGGAGTTTCCACAACGGAAATATGAGCCTTGCAGATGAACCCAGATCAGGTCATTCATTGGTTGTTGATGATGAGGTTCTTGAATTTTCTGATTCTTGAAGCAGAATCCACATACAAGTACTAGTGATATATCGGTCATAGTAGAGGCTTATAATGCCGTAGTAACTCATTATCTTAATGATCACAAGTGATGATAAATGTTATTTTATAGGTTATTTTTATAAAAATCTAGTATCGGAACCTACTAATTTAAGATCAGTTTGGGGAAAAAGTGATGCTTTGTATTTGGTGGGACTGTGTAGGCGTCTTGCATTTAAAGCTTATTCCTGATGGTCGGACAGTGGACCTTTATTGTGAAGAGCTAGACAGAGTTTATGCAGTTTTGAGAGAAAAGTTCCTAACTTCGGTAAATAGGAAACAAGCCATTTTGCAACAAGACAATGCCCCTGTACATCCTTATCGTTTGAGCAAGTAAAAATTATCAGAACTGTAAGACCCTCATCCTGCATAGAGCTCAGATATTGTACTATCATCAATTCAGATCAAACTTTTCTATCGATCGAGTCTTTGATAATTACGAGGATGCGAAGTAAAATTAAGATGTGAAGAATTCTCTGTCTCAAAACCAAAGCAGTGGTACAGGCATCAAATCCAGTTACTGGCAGAAAGATGGATAAAAGTAGTTGAAAACAATCGAGTTTACAAGGCAGAGTAGTATTCAATAATGTTTAAAATAGTAATATGAAATAAAGCTATACTTATGCACAAGGACGTATGTAATAACCTAGTATTTACCATTAAACGTCAAGAAAAAGACAGAATTACTTGGTATGCAATTTGAGAAATGTTAAATGACAATGAGGATAGTAGTAGCATTAAAAATAATCTTTGACATAAACAAAATAATTTCAGTATTAGTCATTGTTATTCCACCACTTATTTATTCATATAATTGATCTTATATTTTGACCAAATCAACTGGTTTTCTGAGACTAATAATTAATATTTATTAGTTTTATACCGACTGATTTACTTTGCTTTCCTTAGTTAACATTTTACTATTATATCTTAAGTTCAGAAATGTGTTAAACTATGTATAGAGAAAAAAATCTTAAGTTGTTAAATTGTTAATATAAAATAATTAATACATATATGTATTTAAATGTATTACCAAATTAATAAATGTATCAGCTGGATGAGAATACATTTGTCTTTTATCTCTGTATCTGATATTTTTTTCATTTTATTTCAATAACTCGAAATTTCTAAAATCTGACCACTTTAACACAAACTTTTTTAAATTAAAGAGATTTTTAATTTCCAATAAAGTTAGAGTAACCAATAGGTAACAGTGTAAAGCTAATGTAAAATTAGTAATTAACCTATTTGGGCTAGAATAAATACCAATAGCATTGTTTCAACAAAACCTGATGTCTTATAAGAAAATAACTTATTATCAATGTTCATAAACAAGGAAAATGGCTAGGGTAAAAGCACCAGTAGCTGACAGAGCACCAATACTTGACATCCTGCTCGTAAAATGGAAATAATAAAATTTCAGGACCTCCTAGTCTAGACCTCTATTTCATATATTTTTCGTTTCATTACTTTCTCCTTGTATATTTTTCTGCTTTGCTTTAATCTGGTCGGAAAGTGTAACCGAAATAATGAGTGGCAAATTAGGAAAGTCCCTTGCGATCCACTGTGTCCATCTATCAGTAAGGACACCATACCGTAGGTTTGTCTTCTTCTCTTTTATTTTTATAAGTTAAAGATAATGTTTGTCAATATCTATTTTAAAAATGAAGAATATAAAATTTCAGCACTTCATTTTACATAATTACATTCTTGTTCTCATTCCGGTCAGCTATAGAAATCAAACATTCAAACATTCAAAATCAAACAGTGCTAGAGTGAACACCAATAGCATTGTTTCAACAAAACGTAATGTCTTATAAGAAAATAACTTTTTCTACTGGAACAACAAAACTACACTATAAATTTATATATTTTTTAAATTTAGCTGGCTGGATGTGGGTTCATTCATGGGTTTAAAATATGTCTTGGTAAGGTGAGAAATAGTCCTATAAGATGAATCTAAGAAAAATATAATAACATCTATATTTTATTTTACATGTAAAAGTTTAAAGACATTTCCTTAAGCATGTCAGCTACTAGTGCATTTACCCTAATTAGATAAGGAAAGAATTTAAAGAAATTCTCGAAAACCCGTAACATTTCAGTTAATTTTTAATAAAATGTTTAATATAATATGGCCAATCTAAGAGGGTGATATTGGCTTGGATCACTTTCAATAGTCATAATCAATTAGTTTTGAATTGCAAAACACAATTTATCAATATGTCACTAAGAGCAACAACCTTCAGTTTTTTAAGGAACATAAACATAATACTGCAAACATTTTTAAGTCTTAAACATTATTTAACTGATAATAATTGTTATAAGACTATATATAAATCTGCAAGTTCTGATTTAAAGTAAATAAAAAGTATATATCAACATAATTCCATTACAACCCACAGTACCTAAAGAATTAAAAACTAAAGTTAAAATAACTAATGTAAAAAACTTCACCACCTTAAAACCTAATAAAAATCATAACATGTTGGAAATATCAAAGTGATTTAAATAATAAATAATAATCTCTGTCAAATAAACTAAAGAGTAATGTAAATAAATAATACACTTGATATTAAACTATTATATTCATATTTTAACAAAAAAAACTCAACGGTACAAAATATTTATATTTGTTTCAGTATTTTTGTTATTTGTTAGATTACATTCATAATTTAAAAAAAGTTGTACTGTACAGTTAATTCGAGAAAAAAATCAATACATGATTATGTGATTTTATACATATATATAAACACAATTTAATGATTAATAACTGCTTCCACTGTGGTCCAATGTTAAACTCATTTTGATAAGCTGATAAGAAATTTTGAAACAAACACTAAAAAAATTAATTTGTAATCAATGTAGAGTAAGGTGTAATAATTTATAGAACGTAGTAACTAAGTACCAAAACGCTGTATAATAGACAGTACTTAACTTAAAACTACAAGATAAGATTAATTTATAAAAGGCCATCGCTACGACTATAAATGCACATTAAAGAATAAATACATATAAAAATTAATATAAGTATATTTACATTAAATTTCAAAATCTAAAATGAGATGTAAAATATTTTCTAGCACTGTACCTTCCAATTAAAACCTCACCTAGGCCTGGTAACTACTGTGGTTCAAGGAGCAAAATTCACAGCCTATCTAATCAGTACAAATGAAAAAACAGCTGACTTCAATTTTAATCAATTATATCTTATTGGAATATAATTTTCTCTTCAATATATATAAATAAACTTCCTATATTTATAAATATTTATTTTAATAGTAAATTTAATTGATTTAAATTAAAACTGTATCAAGGGCGCTTAATGTTATTTGAATTGAATATTACATAGATTTGTGCAAATAATACTACCCTATTTTAAATTATCTTAAACATATGGATATGAAATACATAAGCGGACATCGATTCCAATTAGAGACATTATAGATCGTTAATAATCTATATTACTTCAAGCGGCTCCAGATTAAGGATTAGCAATTGTCTGCAGTTGGTCACTAACGATAATTTAGACTAGTGTTGGGGTGTGACAGAGATTTCCCGTCACAGCTCCAACAGTGACAGCTCCGGGAAAATCACTGTGACAAATCACGCACAGATCACGCACTTAAGCTTATAATAATAATAAAAGACTTAGCGAACCCGAAGGTTCGATGCCGACACCACCAATCGCTCATTACACACCTCCCTCCACCGTTCGCCGTCCAAACCGAGTCCCTTCAGATCGCCTTTAATGCAATCTGCCCACCTTCGCTTTGGTCTACCCCTCGGACGTTTACCATTCGGTACAGCAAATATTAACCTTTTAGGAATTCTCTCGTTAAACCCAACAATTTTACAGGCCCAATTGACATGCCGGGATGAAATCACCTCAATTATATTACTCGGATATAGTTCACGCAATTCGGCGGAATCATCCTTCTTCGGTCCGAATATTCTACCCAATACTTTATTTTCAAAAACCTTAACTCGTTGCTCATCCATTAATGTAAGCGGCCACGTTTCGCAACCATAAAGAACTGTAGGTAAGACAATGGTTTTATAGATTCCAATTTTTAAGTTGCGGGCTCATTGCCGCGTATGAGGAGCGTCCCATAGGTGGCGGATGTGGGGATGGTCGGTGGAAATTCCCTAGAAGTTCCTCCCGGCTAGGTCCGATGGACTCGCTGACCAACAATGAGAGGGGACCTCCAGACTTGCTGGAGGCAGGGGCCCACCAGACTTGCTGGTGCGTGTGACGTGTCATGGATCTCCCTAAGGTAAAACGCTCATTAGCCGGAGGTAAACTAGTACCCCATTCGGGTCTCCGGGTGGGGACTGCTTTAAGGGATTCATGGCGCAAGTTGAAAAATAGGGATTAAAATATTGGTACGTGGAACGTAAGGAGTCTAAACACAGCAGGGGGGTTAAAATCGGTCGTAAATGAGGTTAATGGGTACAATTTGGATGTCGTGGCTTTGCAAGAGGTTCGCTGGCCAGGGGAGGCTCGATGAGGGAAGGAAAGTACACTATTTGGTACGGAGGAAGCGGGAATTATTGTTTAGGTGCCGGGTTTTTAATTAGGAATAGATTGCTATCCGCTTTGAAGGATGTACAATTCTTTAGTGATAGAATTTCGGTAGCTATATTTCAGGGATGTTGGTTTAAAATAGCATTAATAAATATACTTAACTTGGAACCCACATACCAGACTTAAAAGATAAGAACTTAACCGACGATTTGACCAGCTATACAGACTACTTAACAGAAAATCCAATCTCTCAATAGAAAACAAACTATTAATATACAAGACCATACTCAAACCCATGTGGATCTGGACCTACGGACTTGAACTGTGGGGGACAACTAAATTTTCGAACATCAAACGCATCCAATCCTTTCAGTCTAAAGTCCTCCGTATAATAGTCAATGCTCCTTATTAAGTTCCAAACAAATATTGATAGCAATGCGTCTTATAGGAAAGGATTTTTCAAAATAAGAGGGTCATACAATAAAATGAAAGAAGTAGATGACATAATCAATGAATCTGAAGCTGATATCCCCATATCGTTATCACAGGCGGGCCCACTGGAAACATCTGATGAAGAACAAACAAAAAAGAAAAGAAAAGCTGAAAATAGACTAGATGAGTTTAAATTTCCACCACGTAGTTCACCAGTCTCAGCAATGGGTAAGTCGTCCTGACAGACCGAACCCATCTCCTCAGGTCTGATACCTGTTCACGATCCACTGAAAGGACTTGGTAAAACTATCTACCCCAATAATCTACAACAACATGGACATCATATTTTGTTTTGCAATATAAATGGTTTAAAAAATTTGTTTAAATTTACATTAAAAGAATGTGATACTATACGGCAGTATCTCATATTGTGTTTCGTGGAGACTTGGGTGATTAACGATAATTTCTCTTTACCTCCATGGTTGCATGATTATACACCTTTTAGCAGTAAAGCTGTCAAAGTAAACACAACAGGGCGTGGCAGCGGTGGTTTGCTAACCCTAGTTCATAGCTCCATTACTTCAGGAACAAGTATTGTATATGTCAACCGATACTGGCTTTTTGTCAATATTAAAATTAATAACAAATTATTACCAGTTGGAAACATTTACTTGCCTCCTGTATGTGATATAGATACAATACTGGAAGATCTATGTAATACTATTACGGAATTACTATTCAATTCAGACACTTGCTTGTTTATCAATGGTGACTTTCACAGTCATGAAGGTGACCTGAATTTCTTGTATGAAGAAATGTTATACAACTCAAATCTATACGCTACAAGGACGAACAGCCATAAACATGTTAACAGATAAGGAAAACAATTAGTGGAAGCGATGGAATCATTAGGTCTCACACTATGTAACGGCAGGACCCTCTCTGACAGACCCGGAAGTTTACATTTATTTCTAACGTTGGTAAAAGCACTATTAATCTGGTGTGGATGAACGATGTGGCACTCGAGATATTAGGTGATATGGAAGTTATAGCCATGTCTGATTTTCTGGACCATTTAGCTTGTGCTACTACCGTGAAACCACATGTAAGCTTACCGAATTCTCGAACGTTTAATTATATCGGTATGGAACCCAAAAAACAAGTGAAATGGGATGAGAACCAAAGCATATTATTCAAAACAAATTTAGCTTGCAGTGACAAAATTTACTATAATTCGCATGATGTAAACCAGCTCTATAAGAATTTCGTTGAATGCTTGTAGGAGAATATGTCTTCTGCCGGCATGCTCGTGATCAAAAAACCACCGAAGAATATAATGTTTCAGCCTAATCAACCCTGGTTTGACTCAGAGTGCAATAATTTGAAAAGGGAAGTTAGAAGAAAATATAGAGCATTAATTAAATTAAATTTTCCTCCTCAAGTGTTACAAGACTACATCCAAATAAGGAATTCCTATAGAACATTAATTAGGAACAAGAAAAAAGAATTTAGATTTCAAATTATAAAAAATTTGCAGAATATAAAAAATAGCAAACAGTTTTGGAAAACCGTCAATTCCTTGAAACCATACAAACCCAATGAAAATGCATTAACCATGGAGGAATGGAGCAAATTCTATAGGACACATTATGGACAGAAGACCATTCGAAGTTTAGAATTCATTCCTAGCACCAACTCAATTCTGGAAGCGAATATAACACAAGAGGAACTGCAGATTTGTATTAATCTTTCTAAAAACAACAAATCTCCTGGGTCGGACCTTATAATTTATGAAAACTTCAAAAACCACACTCCAGAGTGGGAACACTACATTTTGCATTTATTCAATACTGTACTTGAACAAGAAAAATTACCTACCCAGTGGTCTAAATCCAAACTTTTCTTACTTTTTAAAAAATGTAATAGAAGTGATATCGATAATTATAGAGGCATATATTTACTGAACACGATGGCTAAATTATTTACCGGCATCATTGCAAGGAGGATAATGCTATGGGCAGACTCTCAGAATCTAATACCCGAAGAACAAGCAAGATTCAGGAACGGAAGAGGCTGCATTTATCATATATTCACCATTTCAGCGCTTATCGGAATAACTTTTAAGACAGAAGGAAGATATCTATATGCCACCTTCACCAACCTCAAAAAAGCTTTCGATTCAATTAACCATGGACTTCTTTGGAGAAAGCTTATTACCGTAGGAGTTGGAGGAAAAATCACCAAAATTATTAAAATGCTGTACGACAATGCCTCAACCCAAATTTCAGTTAATGGACAACATTCGGATGATATTGACATCATCTTAGGACTTTTACAAGGTGAAAGTCTGAGCCCAACCTTATTTTTGTTGTTTATCTCCGACATAGTTAAATACTTTCGTGACAAAAGAGCAGCAGGGGTAAGCATAGCCACCTTACACGAGGTAACAATGCTACTTCTAGCTGATGATATTATTCTCTTAAGTAATAATTGGCATGGAGCGTAAAAGAATATCAAAATATTACAAGAATATTGCAGTAACAATTCTCTTACATTAAATGCAGACAAATCTAAAACTTTTGTTTTCCACAAATCTTCACGGCTTAAACAGCTCAAAAACGTTGTATTGGCATGACAGGATATTGGAGTATACAAAAAGATATACTTATTTGGGAGTTCTCTTCACAACGTCAGGAAAATTTAAACAAGCATGTGAACATTTTACTCAGAAGTCATCAGTGGCATCTGCGAGAGTCATAGGTATACTAAAAAAAGGGAAAAGTGACTCCTGGGAAAGTAAAAAAGTGTTATTTGACTCAATGGTCTCATCAACATTGCTTTATGCTTCTGCAGTATGGAGCCCCAATTATCTTGAGGCAATCGAAACGGCCCAACTTAAATTTTTAAAGCAACTGTTTGGTTGGCCCAGAACTACCCCAAACTACATAGTCCGCCTCGAAACAGGAAGAGAACCATTAAGAATGAAAGTAATAAAAAAGATGATAAGTCTATGGACCAAGCTCGAGTTCATGCCAGAAGAGCAACTCCAAATACTTTACTTTGATAGACTTAAAACATTAGATAAGGATAAGCCTGACATAGACTTCAATTGGGTGTCTCAATTTAGGGCAATAGCCGAGCTTAATGCCTTTGCAGAAGAGCTTTCTGTTCGCCCCACAAACGGACTTCTTCGATACAAAGACGACATCCTTGAAAAAGCACACAACTATTATTTA